CCTAATTTCTTCTCCATCTGGGACTCCAATTATATATGTCATTGTTCCATAGATCTTGAATACTGTGTGTTTCCACTCTTTTTCCTCAGCTATGATGAGTCTACTGATGAGAACATAGAGGATATTCTTCATCTCTGATCCTGTGTTTATTTCAGTTTGTCCCTTTCTTATAGTTTCTGCCTCTCTGCTGAAATGTTCATACATATTATCCGTATTTATTACTAGGTTTTTCAACATGTTAATCAGAGTTTAAGTCCCCGTCTGATAGTCCAACATCTGGGGCATATCTGTATATGGTCTTACTTTGCCTATGAAAAATGAGTTGTTTTTTCTTCTTTGTGTAACTCAAATTTTTTATTGAATGCCAGTCATTGCTTATCTAACAGTAGACTGAGGTAGACAAGTATTAATGCTTGGAAATGGGCAGATCTGTTCAGTCAGGCTTTTTGTGTAGGATTTGGTCAATCCAGTCAGAAACTGAGCTGGGTTTGGGTTTTGTTGTTGCTATGGTTGCCTTCAGTGCATTACAGATTTTATATCCTCTAGCATTACTTTGTGCTTTAGGATGGGGCTGAAGAACTTTTCTCAAGTGTTCATATTTCATATCCTTAGCTTTCAGCTGTCCTGCACACCTGAACCATAGTGGTAAGTCTCTATGGCCTTGCCTATCCCCCTGCAGCTGTTAATTAGTTATTAGCTCCTTGCTAGGTTGGTAGTTGGGAATGGGCTGGGGGTTCTTTGTTTCAGTTCAGCCTCAGTCTTCAGTAGGTCCTTTGTGGCCAGGCCTTGGGAATGGATTTTTCTCAACATTCTTGCCCCTCCTATCTGTGGCAGCCAAACCATGACTTGTGTTCAGAGCCGGCCTTGTGGGAGAGAGTTTCCTGTCCTTCCCGTAGTGGTAGAACTTTAACGGTATTGATTGGTATGGAATCCTGGGGCTCAGGACTGAGTCTTGTCCCCCGCCCCCAAGAATAGAGGTTTTTTCTTACCAGGTCCCAGCAGCAATGGGTCTTTACCTGTGCCCTGGGGAGACATGATTTTCTGTTGCTCCCTGAGTGGCTTAGGCCTTTTTTACTCCTTATGAGGGAAGAGCCTGGACAGGAGGCAAGCTCTCCTGCCTTTCCCACAGTAGCAGCAGATCTCTCCCACATGCCTCCAAACCAAGGAAGCTCTGTAGAGCTCCAGCATCCTCCTTTCCCTGCAGGTCTTTCTCATGAATACCTGGTGGAAGTTTTAGAAAGAGCTTGTGAGTGCACGCAAACTCCTTTAGTGTCTTAGGCTCCCAGGGATTTTATACTGTCTTGTTAGCCCAAGTTTGGCCTCTTTAACAGTTCTTTAAGGTTTTTCTTGATTTCCTCTTACCTCTCATATGTGGTCAACACTTCTTCTCATGCTGTGCTACGGGTGAGTCAGTCTACAAGTCTGATCTCTCCTTGGAAGGGTCTGTCTCTCCTTGAAATTCAGGCTATTTGGCTGCTTTGCCACATCAGCTCTCTGACAGATCCAATAAAATATATGATTTTATCATCTACCCACCTTTTCTTTTTGAGCAGGGAATGACACTCTTTCCAGATACCTACATCATAGGCAGAAGTGAACTCCTCAGTGACCTCATTTTGAAATATAGTTTTAAGAGGAACACTTTTATCACTTCTGTAAATGGAAAATTAGTATCACATGTTTAGATGTAGCCTTAAAAACAAATACAGTAAAAACAAAACAGTATTTTTTAGTAAGCAGCTACTGTGGTCTGCCAAAGGCTCTGATCTAGATGCCTAGGTTTTAAAAAAAGAGGAAGTGTTAGATGTTACAAATGTTGAGTATTGATACTTTTTCCCTAACAGAAAGATAGGGCTAAAAAGCATGAGGAAACTATTTTCCCTGGCTGATTCCATATTATTTAATGTTACTTTCATTTAATACTTAAAGTCATTACCTTGTGTAGATGCCTCACACTGTGAAGTATATTTCAATATATATGTCCCTGATTGCCAGAAAATGAGGATAAACAAAGTTAAGTATTGCCACTGAGCAAGCGACTCAGCTCTGAGTTTTGTCTAGGCTACTCTTTCAATGGAATAAAGGGGAGACAGATGACAAAAGGGTCCTGAATTTGTCTCTTAAAGAGTCTGCAATCCAGTAACTGGGCTACATGCATACAAAACCCCATAAAGAAAGAGGTAAATGCCCTGGAGAGATACAGTGCTGTGGCTCAAGGTCATGTCTAGATGGAAGTAAGGGAGATGGGAAGGGAGAACGGGGAAGTAATTCTGGAGGAGGTGCAGAAGGAAGGAGTATTCTAGGTAGAGAAAACACTGGAACAAGAAAGCTCAAGGCAAGTGAGATATTTGGCTTAATGACAAAAAAGAGGCTTATGTATATTTAAAAAAAAAATATATATATATATATATATAGGTGCCTGGGTGGCTCAGTTGGTTAAGCATCTGCCTTCAATTAGGTCATGATCCCAGAGTCCCAGGATTGAACTCTGCACTGGGCTCCCTGCTCAAAGGGGAGTCTGCTTCTCCCTCTGCCCCTCACCCCACTTGTGCTCTCTCTTCTCTCTCTCAAATAAATCTTTTTTAAAAATAAAGCTAAAAGATCAACAGCTACATACATAAGGGAAAGGGTGACATTAACTTATTTAGCAAATAATCGGGTGCCTATTTGTCAGGATTCTAGCCTCTGCAGATACAGCAACTTAAAAAAAAAAAGGCAGAATCCCTGCACTATAAGGCTCATGTTCTAGTGTGATGTGTCAGAAAATAAAGTATATATTATGCTGGTGTTTAGTGCTATGGAAAAAAAAGAATACAGCCAAAGAGGATAGGGAATTGCTTAGGGCAATTCGAGGGCAGGTTTTTTTTTTAAGATTTTATTTGAGAGAGGGACACACAGAGATAACGAGAAAGAGCATGAGCAGGGAGGAGAGGGAGAGGCAGACTCCTGACTCCCACTGAGCAGGGAGGGGAGGGCAGTTTTAACACCCCTATACAGGGTGGTCAGGGAAAGCCTCATTAAGGAAATATTTGAGCAAAGGCCTGAGTGTGACGAGGGTGTGCGTTATACAGGTAGCTGGGAGGAGTTTTCTAAGCAGATGGAACAGCTAGTGCAAAGGCCCCGAGAAGACACCTGCCAGGGTAACTCAAGAATAGCACACTCAGGGGCACCTGGGTGGCTCAGTCGGTTAAGCGACTGCCTTCAGCTCAGGTCCTGATCCCAGGGTCCTGGGATTGAGTCCCGCATCGGGCTCCCTGCTCAGCGGAGAGCCTGCTTCTCCCTCTCCCTCTGCCTGCCTCTCTGCCTACTTGTACTCTCGATCTGTCAAATAAATAAATAAAATCTTAAAAAAAAAAAAATAGCACACTCATGTAGCTGCGGTGGATGGAGCATGGGGAAGTGATAGATGAATTCAGGGAGGCAGCAGCAGGGGGTGGGTTTCATATCATGTAGGACCTCATTAGTCATTCTAAGGAGTTCGTATTTGGTTTTGCTCTTGAGCAAGCTAAAAAGCCTAAGGGTTTGAAGTGGGAAAATGCCTTATTCATTCTGGCTGCTGTGTTGAACATTGACTCAAGGGTGGGGTAAGGGCCAGGGTGCTTTCAAGACCAGTTTGGATGCTACTGCAATAACCTCGGGGTCTACAGAGTCTATAGTGATTTGGCCCAGGATAGTAATGGTGGAGAGGGTGTGACGTGGTCACAGTTTGAAGACAGAGCCGATAGGATTTGCTGACTTACTGCACGGGGCATGTAAAGAGTCAAGGTTGATGCCAAGGTTTTTGTTGTGAGCAACTGAAAGGATACAGTTATCATTTAGCTAAGGATGAATGCAGGAGAGGCAGATGTGGTGAGAGAAAGCCCACTGTGGTTTTGAACTTTCAGAGACTATTCTAGAGTTGGTATGTAAATTTATTTGAGAGAGAGAGTGCACTCAGGGGAAGGGGCAGAGGGGGAGAGAGAGAGAGAGAGAGAGACTCTTAAACAGGCTCATGCTGTGCATGCTCTTACACAGGGCTTGATCTCATGCCCCTGAGATCATGACCTGGGCTGAAATCAAGTCGGTCGTGTAACTGAGTGAGCCACCCAGGTGCCCCAGTATGTACATTTAACAGATGGTCTGAAAACAGTGAGATCACTAAGAGTGAGCAGAGAGAAAAGTGTAAGAAACGAGACCTGGCACACTCCTTATGGAAGAAAAGTTGCCATTAACATAGAAGCAGAACCAGGAGCTTTGTGTTCTGGAAACCAAGTCAAGAAAGGTTTTCAAGAAGGGAGAGATCAGCTGCCAGATGTTACTGAGAGATTAAGCAGATAAGGACTGAGAATCAGCCATGTATTTAACAGTGTGGATTGCTGGAGAACTTGACGGGAACAATTTTGGTGATAAGCTGGGGTGGCAGCCTAAGTGGAACAGGCTCAGGTGAGAACAGGAGAGGAACTCAAGGGTTTTGAAGGAGTTTTGCTGTAAAGGGAGTAGAGATATGGGGTGGCAGCTGAAGGAGGGGTGTGAGGTCAGTTTCTAAGCACAGAGAAATTCTAGCACACTAATGGAAATATGCAGGAGGGTGGAGGGAGAGCTGCAGAAGTGATACACTTGAACAGGTGAGAGGATGTGACCAGCTGCGCTAGGTGGTGGGCCCAGCGCCAGACAGAGTGTCAACAGATCATCTACAGGCCCAGGAGGGAAGGAGGAGTGCCAGGAGGCTTGGGGGTGGGGGGGGGAGCTTACCTGTCAGGCGTGGGCCATTTTAGGTATCTGAAAAGGTATCTTTGGGAGCAATGACCCGGGATAAAAGCTGATAGAGACCTAACAACATAACATTTATATAACGGTTCTGTGAATATGTTTATACAGAGCCCAAGCATCATCTACCTCTACGTTATAGTGAACTAACTTGATAGGAGGTTTCAGCTTAGTTCATTTAAAGAAATGGAAGAGGGAGCACACCCCACTGACTCTCCTACTAAGTCTCTTCACTCCAAGCCAGTCTTGACTCTGAGCCATACTATTCCATTCAGTCCTCATGAAAGCAAATGAAAGACACACTCAAGCTTCATCTGCTTTATTTCACTACATTAAGTTAAGCTAGAAGGCAAAACAGGAACCTGTAAATTCATAAAGATCAAGGAGAGCCTCTCATTCCCAAAAGGGACCAAAAAGGATGTTTCTTCACAAGTATGAGTGACATTTATTTAGCTCATTACACCTATAAGCACTTTGAACAAAAGAAACCTCGGTGGGTTAATCAAACCACAAATACAAATTAACTTAGCTTTATGTTTCCAAAACTGTAGTTTCTAGTGCTGACATCTCACTCGCCTGCAGTGGTGCACACTGCCTATGCATTGACCATCTTGCACCTGATCTAATATAAAAATGCAACAAATAAAATTCCAAATTCACCACCTGTAGGTGTTGAACCATTTCTACTAATACACAGAATACTGGATTGCACTGAAAACTATCTTGAGGAAACATTAAAACAATGGCTCTGTTATTTCTTCAAGTTAATTTGGCTTCTGAAGAAAAAAAAAATTCGATGATCAAAAGTATTTTTGTGTTTCTGTGTCACATGGGGGTGATGAGACCCATTACTTCAACATTATTACTTTGGGGAATAAATACTAGCTACATGCCGTAAACGCACAATATACAAGTGTGTGTGGCCTGCAAACGTGTAAACACAGGAAGCCATTCTCTCCTTTGAAATCCGGGTCCTCCACTGGCAAATGGGGAGCAATGGCTTCAGAGTAGGCTCTAGCAAGTAGTGAAATAAAAACCGACACTCTGTGGGGTCACAAAAAATTAAACTATTTCTCTAGTCTGCAAATTTGTCATTACACAACCCCCTGCCACAACTCCTAAGAGGCTAAATTTTACTTATTATTGTCATAATATTAGAGATATGTGTACTTTTTTTCTTATATTGCAGCATATATATTACTCTGTGGAGCACTGTTTCATAAAGTCAGCTTGACCTTTCAAGTACAATTTAGTGTCTTTCAAAGGCTTCCTAAATATTTTTATTTTCCAGAGGGAGCTAGTAAGTTACTACGTCCTGTCTGTATTCTAGATTACTACACATCTTAATTTTTTTTAAACTAAAGGCTTGAACTTAAAAACAAAACCAGGATAAACAGGAAATTTCTCTTTTCCCCAAAAATGTATTGGCTGCTTGCTAACAATACATTTATAGAAAATGTGGTGCAGACAGTGGTCTACTTGGTCAAGTCTCATTTTAGAAAACGTCACAGAAATTAAGGTTAGCAAGCCAACTCCAGGATACCAAAAGAAAACAGCATATGTGCTGTCAGGCACGTATTCTGGGGTACTAGATGAACTTTTTTATAGTTTACAATCAAAACGGCCTTATTCGACACACCATATGATAAAAGTCTTAAACTCAGGAAGGGGAAAGGTTCTTTATCTTATTATCCAGTTTGGGATTCAACAGATTTTAACTGCTATTTCCCCCTTCAAATCAATGGAAAGAACATTAGTTTGGATCATGCTAAAAATCTGACCTTTAAAATGTTTTCTGCATTCCAGAAGTGAACTTGTCTACCAAGTTTTCTTTGGCCTCTTTCCAGGTGCCAAGTATTTAGAACAACTTATTGAGTTAAAGAGGCAGAGCAGAGGGGACAGGGAGGGAGTAAGACATAGAAGGGCTACCTCCAGATGACAGCGTTAACCCCTGGATATTGTGGCCACATTTAAAATGAATGGAATTCGCCACTGCCTTGACATGACAGTGATTGCTTGCTTCTCCAATTCTTAAAGGAAAAAGTTCCATATTCTAATGAGAAAGAAATTTTAAAAGCACCCGATAAATATGCATCCTGTATTTACTCAGAAGAGGGCAAATGGGAGCGACTTAAGAATCTCACGGGTTTTCCCAAACACCACAAAACTAAAGACAATGTGACAATTCTATTTTTCTGTCCAATGGAAACCTCGGCAAGATGGGAGCCATGGCAGCAAGTGAAGGGGTATGTTTAGACTGCTAGATTATATAGCTACACGGAACGCAGATAGCAGCCAGTACAGAGACCGACGCTGGATCATTAACAGCAGGTTTGTTATCATTTTATCTGTGAGATTGTGATCCTTTTTTGAGATCAGACTGGGAGATAGTATGGTCAGAGTTTCTCAGGTGGTAAATCTAATGCCACTCCAAAGAACAGCCATCCCCTGTCTTGGGAGGGAACTATGCTGTTGTTACTCGACGTGCAGGGTTCAGTGAGGGAGACAGATTACTGGTATTAACAGAAGTGAGAGCGAGAGAACAGCAGTTAGCCTGTGTTCCTAAGGCCTTGCCAGCGGCCCCACCCTCCTAGGGGATTCAGTAGTGCATGGGTACATTGTTACAGACAAGGCTTAATGAAGCAGCGGCTTCCACATTTTAACGTGGGCTCCTGGTGTCCTTTGCCCCACCAGTGGCACCTTTAAGGAAGAAGTGGGCCCAAGCTGAGTTCCACATGCTGGGTGAGCCAGATGACTTCTGTGCCCTGGTCACTTTCTTCAATGGGACGGATGGGGGCTGCCAGGTTTTTAAAATCATGCTTCATCTTAAAGCACACGGTCACTTCGCCCTCCTCACGTTGTGGTGTCACTTTGATGAAAATACCCACTTTGTTGGCCTTTCTGAAGGCTATAATGCTATGGAAAAAAATAAGTACAGTATTAGGCAGGTCACAAGTCAGCCAAGCCACTAAGACTTACATTTTATCTGATGACAAGACCACCATCTCACTTATTAGCAATAAAGAGTTCTTTCAGCAAAATGTCAATCTATCTTTTGAGTGTTACAAAAGTAAAATACAGTCCTAAAAAATTCAAATGGGAAGAAATAAGTCCTCCCTTATTTTCCCCTTCAGCACACAGAAAAACTACAAACACTTTGTTTCTTAACCTACCAGATATTTTTCTATGAGTTTACACCTTTCTGCTTTTTTAACCAACACAAAAGGAACACACTATTTATTCTATTAACTTGGTTTTTTCCACTCAGTTTATCACAAACACCTTTCCATACTGGTATATATAGATCTTCTCCATTCTACTTAATGGCTGCATAGTATTCTATTATAGATTTACCATAATTGGTATATATTGATGTTACTGCCAATTTTCCTGTCATAAACAATGGTGCTGTGAATATCCCTTTACATTTATCTTTGTGTGCATGTGGTAATGTTTCTATAGGATACAGACTGATATTAACTCAGAACTTCAAATGAATTTCTGGAACACCGTAATAAAATTAGTGTTTTTGTAAATAAGCTCTGTAAATTAAAAATTTTTAGAATAGAAAAATAATCTCTTTAGTTGAGATTTCCATTTTGATTTTCTCTGACATGCACCTGAAGTTTGTGCTTTAATAACTTAGCTTCAAACAAAAAGTCAAAGGGCAATGAAACAGAATTTGATCTACTATTCAAATGATACTCTAAGAAAAGTTATTGGATTTAAACATTTACGTAGTATTATATAGTATTAATTTCCAAATATCTGAAAGTCCTAAAAGTGCAATGTGAAATATAATTAATTCAATTTTTTATTACTCTGTCATGTAATCTGACTAGAATTTGATATCTCAGATGATCTTTCCGGCAGCTGACCTTGGTTTAACAAATTTCTATACTGAATGAATGTTATTTAAGGATCCACATAAAGCAAGGATTACAGAGAATGTATTTTGTATTGTTATTAACTCAATAATGCATTTTGTACTGTAGTGAATAACTAAACCCTTGATTTGCAGGATTCATTAAAAAAAAAAAACAACTCAGTTATAAATAGTAAGAAGAAAAAGTTAGTGTCTTTCTAGCCTAATTTCCTAGGCAACCACTGATATCTGGGAAGCTTTAAAAAAAAAAAATGCAGATTTCTGGTGCACCCCTAGACCTGCCAAAGAGAAATCTCTGGGGTGGGGCCTGGAACTCTATAGAACAAAACAAAACACCTGCCCTGGTGCTTTCTGAATTAACTCAAGTTTGGCAATCACTGCACTAAACGCATCTTTGCCCTTTGTTTTTCCCACCCATCCCATGTTATTTCTTCTTTCCAATGTTTTGCCGAGGGAGCTTTGGATCATTCTGTTAAAAAGACCTTACATGTTCCTTGTGCCAGTATATGAAGCTATTCTTTTCAGCTCCAAGTCTACCTTCTATATCTTGCTTTGTGACACAGGATTCTGCTGTCCATGTCTCTCTGCTTTGTAGGCTGGCTCCCTGTCAGGCTAATGTCAAATGGAGGGGCTCTAAAGGAGACTAGAAACCTGGAGAGGGAAGGGACTTCCTCCTGCCTGTGAGCTGCCTGTGTGTGTGTGGTTCCTGTGGGTCTCACTCCAGCAATGCTTCTTCACCCAGGAGGGGGCAGTACCCGTTGCAGTTTTATTTATTTAAAGATTTTATTTACTTACTTAACAGAGAGAGACACAGAGAGAGAGGGAACACAAGCAGGGGGAGCGGGAGAGGGAGAAGCAGGCTTCCTGCCGAGCAGGGAGCCCGATGCGGGGCTCGATCCCAGGACCCTGGGATCATGACCTGAGCCGAAGGCAGATGCTTAACGACTGAGCCACCCAGGCGCGCCCCCGTTGCAGTTTTTTAGACTGCATCCTGACTGATGTACCCTCATCCAGGGAGAGGTTTGGTTTTTTACTTCTCAGTTATTAGGTAAGAGCGAGTCAAATCTATTACTCAAGGGGCAGGTGGGGAGGGGTAAGTGGATAAATTCAATGATAAAACTATAGGGAGAGAATACTGTATCCTGTCCACAACTATAATGCTCTTGAAAATTTTTATTAACAGGGGAAAATATTTACTATTTAAAATGAAACAAGGATTAGAAACTGCTTACAGAATGATCCCAACAATGGAAGAAATATATGGAAGGACAAAGACCAAAATGTTAATGCTGCTTATCTCTGGCGGTGGGATTTTATTTTTCTTCTTCATAGTTTTATATATATTCTGCAAATTTCTACAGTAATTATTTTTATAAACAAGAAGAAAAAATCATCTTAAAAAATCAAGATAAAAAAACTGGGATCTGTAAGTGGGCCTCCTATATTAGCCAACTGTGGTATGTTGGGGGGGGATCACTAAGAGATCACTCACTCAGGATCATCCTGAAAGTCCTGGGGTTCTGCCAACTCATCATACTCCGCTGCTGCATCCTTGCCAGCTAAAATGAGCTCTTTGGGAGGCACCACCACCTGGAGAGCAAAACAGAGAGGGTTGCCTCAGAATGGGTCAGTGTGCTGTAGGACATTCATTCAACAAAATACAATACAACCTCTCATGCTAACACCAACCTAAACATATAGAAGTTTCAAGTTTCAAGAAACAGAGTATTACTTCACTTTTACAGAGTTTAAAAACTGTTTAGGAACACAGACATTTCTAGTAAAAGTACGAGAACAAAAAACAATTAAGCATTCTTCAGACTAAGCCTTATGTTGTTACTAGGCCTCAACTTTCCTAAGTCAGAGGTTAGCAGATAACAATGTCAACCACGTTTATAATTATGGATATGAATAGGCTGGGAGGTATAAAGAGAAAGATAGCAAGTCTACAAACTGGGCATACATGTCAGGCACTTATTTCTGTCTCACGGGAACAGGTTATTAGTGTTAATAAAAAAAGCAAGGAGGATGAGTGTCGTTTCTCTTTGAAAGTGATGCTAGTAAGTGAAATCATTAAAAAGAAGGAAAAAAGAAAAAGGGGATAAAGAAATTCTCTACTAATAAGTATTCTCTGAATAATAGCTAATAAAAGATATAGGCATCATTTCTATCAATTTTTGTTGTATCATGCTGAATTATGAGTCAATAATAGATTGCCCATTGAGTAAAGTTCTTGATCTAAAATTTCAAGTACCAGATGAATCACCAAATAGCAAAACGAAAAAAGGCCGCATTTTAATCATTCAACTAACATTTACTGAAAGTCAAAATCACCTCTTTTAATATTTAGTGCTATGCACGCTGTATATAAGTGAAGGGCATCTAGAGGAGGCATACCAGCGTTTAAAAGGACATGTTATTTCCTAGGAGTCTTGAAGCCTGAGTATGTGTTAGACAGAGAGGTGTGGGTATGTACGTATGTCAGGGAATGGCATTCTAGGAAGAAAGAATAGCGTCTGCAATTCTCCAGCATGAAAACTCATAAGCACTGCATCTGCTTGGATTATATGCATTAATATGTATGATTTGGAGAATGCTAGATTTGGGGATCTGGGGGAAGGTCATCCTGGAAGAACAGATAGAGGGGGACCACTGAGAACCTCTCATGCTATGCCGAGGAATTTGGATTTCCTCCCTAAGTCAGAGAGATGCCAAATGATAGGTATGCCATGATCAAAGTTAGATTTTAGAAAGATCACTCTGGTGTCCAAGACAGACGATAGGTTGGAATGGAAGTGGGGGTAGATTCCAAACAGGTCAACAAGGACGTTACTGGCACAGTCCAGATAAGAAAGGATGAGACCTTCAAACAGGGCAGTGGCAGTGTGATTGTGCATAAAGTAAAAAAAAACTCAGGAGGTGAAATCAAAAGAACATGATGACTGCCTGGATGCGGAAATGGAAGACAGCGTGGAGTCCTTTAAGCCAGGTCAACAGGCCCCTCCAGGAAAAGTCAGGGTCCCTCAGGATGAGGCAAAATGCTCCTACCTTAGCAGTGCTGTTGATATTATCCGGGTCCCCCTCCTCGCACTCCAGCAGTGTCACGTGGGTAAGGTTTTCCACTGGATTCGTAAGCGTCAGGAGGACCTGGCTCTCCTGGGGAACAGGACAAGCCTTTCTCAGACATGTTCCACTACTGCCACACAGGTCCACTTTCTTAGTTGCTGCACCAAGCATTTCACAAAATCACTCCTGAGCAGTAACACCCACCTACACCTCTACATCACTACATTCTCAAAGTGCTCACGGATTCCTATTCTATTATTTATAGATTAGGCTATATATGCTCTGGAGTTCCTGAAATTACATGAGGAAATAGGGCAGATCCCATAGAAAGGGCCAGGTACTAGATTCAGAAATTCTGAGGACTGTACATTATCCAAGTGATTAAAGTTTACAACTCTTGCTCCATCCAGTCCTCCACGTAAGGACTCCTGAGCAATAACTTAGTATGCTTAGTCTGAAAGTCCTCACAAATAAAAGTATGAGAGCCACAGGGTAGCCAGACATAGAAAAAGATCATTCATCAGGACTCTAAAAGACTTTTAAGATTTCCTGACCCATAATTTGCCCTTGTTTGGTACTTTGAGATTAGCAAAATCTTTCAGATGAACGTGGACTCCATAAATGTCTTCATAAGCAGCATGAAAGGAAACAACAAAAGGGACTGTTGCAGAATATTCTACAACTCATGGAGGGGATGAGAGGGCATAGATAAGGAACTCAAGGAAGAGAGGGGCTGTGGTAAAGAAGAAATCCTGTTCATTCCTGGTATCTGATACACGCACAGACACGGGATGTGGGGAGTCTCCTGGCTGGAGAAGAGCTAAAGATGTCTGTGGGGTAAAACATCTTCTTTCTTTCCCCACCCATGATTCCATCTTTATATAATGTGCACGCTGCTCCTTTTAAATGTATGTCAAAGATGCTGTTGCCAAAAATCCCAGCTTAAAGAAGTTAAAAATCCCAATCCCTTAATGATTTCAAACTTTCTTTTCTATCCCTTGCTCCTGAATCTCATTCTAAATACACACAGCCACCCACATACACATACACACACATCTCTGATCAATCCTTTATCTTCTAGTTAATAAGCAAAGTACTAACCTTCATGTAGCGAAGGTTGGGAATTGACATGATTCTCACTTCTGGGATATAATTGCTATGTGTGAATAAAAAATACATTAATGTTCATTAAAGTCACTTAAAATTATTGTTACTTTTTTTAAAGTGATTTCAGTGAAGATTTCTTCAAGTTAATTAGAACATGTCACAGAAAAAGAATTTTAAAGAATCATACCATCATAGTAAGAACTTAAGACATGAAACCAACTGGTAATGAGTTCTTTCTGAAATCGTATGTACACTTCTATTTAGAGCCTATATATCTATGTGCATCACGGTTAGGTATCTTCCTTATACATCTGCTAGATATATTTTTTTTGAGATTTTATTCATTTCTGTAAATCTAAAAGGCAACTGGTTACAGGACCCATAACTGACTTAGTAACACACTGCAGAAGTGGAAACACACTACCACATACTTATCAAACACTTTTATAAAGCACTATGTGCCAGGCAATGTTTTCATCACTTTAAATTTAACTTATGTCATTTTCACTGTGACTGCACGAGACAGGTGTTATTATCATCACTCCCATTACAGAGATGAAGAAACTCGGCTTGGGAGAAGTAACTTGCTGGTGAGTGGCCAGGATTCAAACTCAGGCAGTGTAGCTCCAGGGTCCTTCCCCTTAACCACTGTTTTGCTGCCTAAGTTAAGACAATAGAACACTATACTCACATGTGCTTAGTCTGAACTCAAAATCACCCAGGGTCAAATCTCAGCTTAGTGTTTATATACCTGTTCTTTCCTCCAAAGTCAACAGACCAGCATTTCGCAACATTTTTGACTGCTGGAAGGACTTATTTTTAATTGCTGCACAATATTCTACAACCTGAGTGTACCTCAATTTAATCAACTATTTGTTAATGGTTCATCTGCTTGACACTGAAATTTTTAGCTTTTTGCCATTAAAATGTTCCAATACACATCCTTACATAGGTATCTTTAGATATTAGTGGTTTTGTTTCAACAGAATAGATACCTAAATAGTACTGCTGGTTTAGTCTATGTAATTTTGTCTTGATATTCCAGACCACTCTCCAAAAAGACTCTAGCAATCCACAAGCCTACCAATGTATGCAAATATGTTTCCCCACATTCTCACAAGCACTAAATGCTCTTTATTATTTTAAACTTTTCCTATCAAGTCTCAGCATCTTTCCATGTATTCACTGACCATTTGAAATTCCTCTTCTATAAGCTGCCAGTTCAAATCCTTTGTCCCACTCACATTTTTATCTTTCCAATCTGTGGGAATTATGTCTTCCAGGGACATTAAATTTTTATCTGTCATGGAGTAGCAAATATTCTTTCCTGCTCTATTGTCTGTCTTAAGATTCTGTTGTCAAATATATGTGTATATATATATTACAACTCATGTTTGTTGTTTTTTTTGCTAAGGGCCAGCTGTCTATTTTCTTCTTTAGTGGTTTCTGGGTTTCCTGCCTTACTTAGTTCCCTCTAAGCATTTCTTGCCCTGAAGTCAAGACAATATTTTCCTAATTTTTCAAAATATTTTTGTTTGATAGGTGGTTTTCGTACACAAAATTCCCTTCTATTGACAAGTCCCAGTGAATTAACACTAATAATCACTTTTATCCCACTCAATGACTGTTATCAGAACATAAGATGAACATTGTTGCAGGGATACTCTTTGATTTGCTATGCTTATTTTTTACTTTAATATTTTGGATCATTACCAAAATCAGATTCTTTATAATTTGTAATCAATGACCAGTGACTCTCTGTCCAATAATCAACTAACAATCACTGCCTCAGACCTCATCATCACAGTGTCCCTGATGCAAACAGCCTGGATTCTAGGTTTATAATTTGTTTTAAACTTCACGGTATATAACTTGAAACCTAAACAGAAGAAACAGCAAGATTATTCCGATGTAGTTTTTCTTTTGTTTTTAAGCCCAGAGTAAATAATTTTTTGTTGAAAAAGTCAAAGAACAGTAACTAAAAACACTGATCCCAAAATACTCACACAGCAACCAGTTGGATTTTGAATTTGATAGATGTTGGATTAAATTCTGGCTTGCTCAAATTGTGTTCACATTTCTAAAAAGAAAATATTATAGTACGGTGTATCAGAGGAAAATAACAAACCCTGCTGGATCCACAGAGCTGCTAAATTCAGAAGGACAGCATTGACTCGAGTTTTGCAGTTTTATTCTGCTACAATACCACACGTTTTGAAATACTGTGTATGCCACTGATTGCCAAAATTTGCAAAAGATGATGATTTGGACATCTCTGGACATAAGCAAGAACATTATCAGGTATTATTATACCTTTGTGGTACTTAATAACTACTGAAATAATAACGACACATACTCAGTGTTGAACCATGTGCTCCTTAATTTAAGTGGATTTAAACATCACATCGATTTTATAAGGTTAGTGTAAGTACCAAAACTATTATTGTCCCCATTTTACACATGATGAAAATGGGGCACAAGAAGGGTAAGTCGTCTGTACAACTCCACAGAGCCAGTAAGAATTAAAGCTGGGTCAGGGCGCCTGGGTGGCTCAGTCAGTTGAGCATCCAACTCTTGGTTTTGGCTCAGGTCATGATCTTGGGATCATAAGACTGAGCCCCGACTCAGGCTCCGTGCTCAGCTGGGAGTCTGAGATTCTCTCTCTCTCTGCCCCCCACTCACGCTCTCGTGCTCTCTCTAAAATAAATAATCTTAAAAAAAAAAAAAAAAGAATCAAAGCTGGGATTTAAATCTAAGTAGTGTGACTTCAGATCCCATGCTTTAAAATACAGTAACAATTTTTTACTTTCTTGAATGGATACTACATATATCTGGTTAAAAAAAAAATCTCTCAACAGTACAAAACAGGAACAGTGTAAAGGTACCCATTACTTGTCCCCTTGTCCTCCTCCCCAGAGCCCAACCAGTATCTCATGTGTTTTGTCACAAATAGCCTGTGCACATACAAGTATACACACACATCGTCTTTTTTCCAATAACATAAAAGGGAGTATTTTATATTCTCTTCTGCCCTTTGCTTTACTTATCTTAGAATTCCATGCCAGCACACAGAGAGCTACCTCTGTATCTTACTGTAATCATTTCTGTAAAACTTATTCAACCATACCCAAATTGATGGATATCTGGGATGTTTCCCTGATTTTGCTACTATAAATAATGCAGCAATCAGTTAAGTATTCTTGTGTATCAGCCATTTCCCACATGTGTTAACTTTTGCTAATCTGGTTAACTATCAAATGGTATCTCACTGTAGTTTCAACAGACATTTCTCTGACTATTGTAGGAGTATCTTTCATGTTTATTGCCTACTGGGATTTCCTCTGCTGTGACTTCTGTGATACTGTTTACTGGGTATTCGTATACTGACTGGGGTATCTTTTCCTTACTAATTTGCTAAAGTTCTTTACATATTCTGGACACTAATCCCTTAATTACATATCTTACAAATTACTTTCCTCAGGCTATGGCCTATCTTTGCATTACGACAGGTTCTCTTTGGAGTGCAGGTGCAAGTTTTAATGTGTCAAATATATAATATTGTCCTCTATAGTTCGTGCTGATTTGTCTTATTTATGGAATACTCCCCTACCCAAAAGTCAAAGATTTTCTTGTTTCCTTCTAGAAGTTTTGCTCTTCATATGTGCTCACTAAAGTTTCTAATGTTCCAGGGTGCCTGGGTGGCTCAGTCGGTTAAGCATCTGCCTTCGGCTCAGGTCATGATCTCAGGGTCCTGGGAATGAACCTCGCATCAGGCTCCCTGCTCAGTGGGGAGTCTGCTTCTCCCCCTCTCCCTCTGCCCCTCCCTCCTGCTCATGCACTCCTCAAATAAATACAAATTATCTTAAAAAAATAGTTTTTAATGTTCCTGAAATTGACTTTTGTGTATGGCGTGAGACAGAGACCCAATTTTATTTTCATGTAATTATTTGACCTAGTAAAATTTAATAGGCTATTCTTTCCCCAATGATCTGCAATGCTGTATTTAGTAAATACCAAGTTTCCTCACACCCATGAGTCTGTTTCTGCTTTCTCTATTCTGTTCCAAGTCTATTAATCTATATATATGCATATTGAAAAAAATTTTTGTTTATACACACATTTTAATTTTCCTTCCCTCCCTCCCTTCCTTACACAAAAAGTTGTGTACTTGCCACACACCCTGCTTTTTGCATTTAAAAATATACCCCATATTAGTACATTCTTTTTTAGAGTTATATAGTACTACTCACTGTGTGGATGTACCATAATGTGCATATTTTGGTTTGTATTTGTGAAGGCCTATCCACCCTGAAGACAGATGGATCAATAGGAAACTGCTTATTTACTTTTGGTAAATATGGTGAATTATACAGTCAACATGAACCTTGTATAAAGTTTTATTAATTTACATATTAAAATTTACTATCATTAATCTTAAAGGAATCGACTTTCGGTTTTATTGCTCTTTTGTATTTTATTTTTATTTATTCATTTATTTTATTTATTTTTTTTAAGATTTTATTTATTTATTTGACAGAGAGAGAGACAGCGATAGAGGGAACACAAGCAGGGGCAGTGGGAGCGGCAGAAGCAGGCCTCGCGCTGAGCAGGGAGCCCGATGCGGGGCTCGATCCCAGAACCCTGGGATCATGACCTGAGCAGAAGGCAGACACTTAAATGACTGAGCCACCCAGGCGCCCCAACTCTTTTGTATTTTACAGTGGTTCTTAGTTCATTAGTATCCTCTTCCTTCAAGTTTCTTTGTACTTACTTTGCTGTTCTTTTCCTAACTTCTTAAAATATCTCCTGAAATCACTGATCTTTTCTTTTCTAATATACAGATTTACTTCTAAGCACGGCCTTAGTTACGTCCTATAAGTTTTGCTCTACAGGAATGACTGACTCCTAACTTAATTGCATTATGATCAAATAATATATTCTAATAATGTCATCTTTTGAAAAATGTTGAGACTAACTTCATGACCAGTATACAGTTAATTTTTATAAGTGTTCTGTGTGTATTAGGAAAGAATGTATATTCTGCAGATATTGGGTACAAGTTTATTCTCTAGGTCACCAAGAGAAGCATGTTGAATTTCCCCAAATTCTCAAATGTTTATATATTTTGAGTCTACATTTTTTAGTGCATACAATTATAGAACTGTTACATCCTCTTTGTGAATTATTTCTTCATGAATCATTCCTCCATTTAAAAATTTAGTATTTACACAATCTATCTTCCCCAGCTATCTTCACTTCCAACCTTTCTGAATTCTGTTTTTGTTTCTTGTGATTAGCATGTAATGGGTAGGCATTTTGTTGGTTTTCTTATTTAGTTGTTTAACAAGCATTTAGTTCACTGGCATTTACATAAATACTGAGATATTTGGCTGTAAATCTATCTCACTACATACTTTCTATTTGAACCACCAGTTTTATGTCCTTTTCCCTTTTCTTTTTGTACATAGCCTTTATCAAGCTGAGAAAGTTCTGTATTCCTGTTTTTGAGAGTCCCCCCCCCCTTTTTTTTAATCATGAATGGGTGTTGGATTTTGTCAAATGCCTTTTCTGCACCTATCAATATGATCATGTGATTTTTTTTTTTGGTCTGTTGATGTGATGGATTACATTGATTTTCAAATGTTGAACCAGCCTTGCATCCCAGGGATAAATCCCACTTGGTCATGGTGTATAATTCTTTTAATACTTTTTTGGATTTGGTTTGTTAGTATTTTGTTGAGGAGTTTCTATGTTCATGAGAGATACTGCTTTGTAATTTTCTTGTAATGTTTGCCTTGTTGATACCAGGGTAATGCTGGCCTCATAAAATGAATTAGGAAGTATTCCCTTTGCTTCTACCTTCTAAAAGACATTACAGGAATTGGTATAATTAAATATGTGGTAGAATTCACCAATGAACAAATGTGAGCATGGGGCTTTCTGTTTTGGAAGATAATTATTGATTCAATTTCTTATTTAATACATATATGTCTATTCAGATAATACATTTCTTCTTGTGTGAATTTTGGCAGAATGGGTCTTTCAAAAAAATTGTCCATTTTATCTAGGTTATCAAATTTGTGAGCATAAAGTTGTTCACAGTATTTCTTTATTACCCTTTTAATTTTCATAGGCGCTCTAGTGATGCCCCCTTTTTCATTTCTGACTAGTAAAATGTGCCCTCTTTTTTTCCTAGTTAGACTGAAGAGAGGCTTATCAATTTTATTGGTCTTCAAAGAACCAACTTTTGGTTTTGTTGATTTTTCTCAATTGAGTTCCTATTTTTGATTTCATTGATTTCTGCTTGAATTTTTTTTTTTTTTAGATTTATTTTAGAGTGAATGAGTGAGTGAGTGTGGGGGGGGAGGGGGGAGGGGGAAGAGTAGAGGGAAAGAATCCTGAAGCAGTTTCAGGATTCAAGCAGAAATGTGTTGTTTAATCTGCACATACTTGGGGACTTTCTAGTTTTCTAGAACACTTTCTACTTTTCTCCCATGGCGGTCTGAGAGTAGAAATTGTATGATTTCTATTCTTTTAAATGTAAGGGGTTTTTTTAATTTGTTTTTTATGGCTCAGAACATAGACTGCCTTGGTGAATGCTCCAGGTGAGCTTGAGAAAAATGTGTATTCTGTTGTTAGATGAAGCAGTCTACAAATGTCAATTTTATCTAGTGATTGATGGTGTTGAGTTCACCTATGTCCTTACTGATTTTCTACCTGCGGGATCTGTCCATTTCTGAGAAGGGGGTAATGAAGTCTCCAACTATGACAGTGAATTCATCTATTTTCTCTCTCATCTACTGCAGCTCTATCAGTTTTTGCCTCATATAGTTTGACACTATTGTTAGGCATATACACGTTAAGAACTGTTACGTCTTCCCAGAAAATTAACCCCTTTAGCATGATACGATGCCCTTCTTTATCTCGGTTAACTTTCTTTACTTTGAAAGCTGCTCTGTCTGAAACTAATATAGCTACTCTTCTTGCTCTCCAGTGAGTAGTGTTAGCATGGTATATCTGTTTCCATCTGCTTACTTTTAATCTATATGTGTCTTTTTACTTAAAAAGTGGGTTTTTCCTTCCTTTTTATTTAAAGTATTTGTTGAGTACAGTTGACACACAATGTGACATGAGCTTCAGGTGTACAACATAGTGATTCAACATCCCTATATGCTATGCTCACAAGTGGAGCTACCATCTGTCACCATACGACACTATTACTGTATTATTAACTATATTCCTATGCTGAGCCTTTTATTCCTGTCCGTAACTAGAAGCCTGTATCTTTTCCTTCTTTCTTAGAAAGCTTCTCCATTATAGCAATTTTCTAACATATGCAAAATACAGAATAGTAGAAATTCCTAGGTACACGTGACCCAGCTTCAACAATGAGCAACTTCGTTAGCAACAATGGCCAATCTCGTTTCATCTATACTCTCACCCATTCACCATGCCTATTTTGAAATAAACATCAGACATCATGTCATTTCATCCATAATATTCTGGTATACATCTCTAAAAGATGAAGATATTTTTAAAAATAAATATTATTATCCCTAAAAACATGAAAAGTTCTTATAATAGCATCAAAAATCCAGCTAGTGTTTAACTTTCTCCAAAGGTTTCATAAATGTTTCTTCCCTTCCTCCCTCCCTCCCTGGCCCCTTTCTTCTTAGGTTTTGTTTGAACTGGGATTTAAATGAAGTCTACACACTGTGTTTGGTTGATATGCCTCTCAGGTCTCTTCTAATCTACAGCTGTGTTGTTAACGGTAGCCACTAGTCACATGTGGTGATTTAATTAATAAAAATGAAAGACTTAGCACCTCAGCCACACTGTCACATTTCAAGTGCTCAATAGCAACACGTGGTGAGTGGCTACCATGTTGGACTATGCATATACAGAACATTCCCATCATCAGAGAAAGTTTTGCTGAATAGCACTGATCTAAAAGGTTTCTTTTGGTTTTCTTTTACAGTGTATTTATTGAAGAAACTCAGTTGTTTGTTTTATAAATTCATAGAGGTTGGATTTTGCTGATGTTTCTTCTTTCTTGCTTTCTTTTAAATTATTTTATTACTGCTCTTTGTTTCCTCTCTACCAGCTTAAGTTATATATTCTTTCACTACTCTTTTAGGGGTCAGTGCTCTGAACTTATTAACCTTCAGGTATCTCAGTTTCCAAATCTCTAGAACAGGGGTAACAATAGTACCTTCATCTCATAGTTGGGAGGATTTTTATCTTGAAAGCATTTAAAATGGTGCCTGGACATTCTCTATAAGCATATTTTATATTTACTGCATTCCAGAAGTTTCGATATTGGCCAGACACCAATGTTTAATTTATTTCTGCTTTTCTCTGGTACAAATGACAATTCTACAGAATGGAATAATTACCCGACAGCGCAGGGACCGTTTGATCAGAAGATGTTTGTGACGAGGATAGAGCTGTGAAGCACAGACTGGCTGGAAGTCAGGCTGCAAGAGGCGCTGCTGAAGGGTGGTCACTAGCATGAAAGGCAGAAACCAGGCTTAGTTTACAATGACTCACTCAGAATCAGACTTATGAGATAATCACATGAAACAATACTTCCTTTGTGAATAGTTCTTCAAAAAACTACAATAGAGAAATTTGATAAAGTTCTTCAAATGATTGTATCTATTTCATTTGTTACTTGATTTATTTTACTACTAACAACCATGATGCCTTAAATATCTCAAAACTCACGGCATATTAGTAACAAAAGCAAAATTAGATGTAAAAGAGAAACAAAGCAAAATAATATAAAAATATTACCCTCTGTTAAGTTTACTGGTCTTGTATAGTAATCTTCAGGTAGAGGCTCCACTTCGTCTACAGCCTGAGCTGGCTCAATCTTTATCTCTTTCTGGTCCTCTCCTTCTTTAAGGCTAAAAGATAAAAAGCACTAATTTCTCAAAGGTCCACCTGATCATCTTCAAAGTCTATGATATCAATAACTGAAGTATTCTTCTATTGTAGAATATTCTTTCTCTGTTCAGGTCTTTTCTAAGCATGACAATCTTCTTCCCCAGTAGCAACTGTTTAATGTCACATTCCTTCAATATTCATTTTGATACCTGCTTTTCTCCTCAAAGCCATTTAATGTCCAAACTTACGACAGTCCAGCAAGGGTACTGATGGTTGCACCAGCTCGTGGTCGCTGAAGCCTGGTTCCAAGACCATATTTGTCCTAAACAGAGTTCAGAAATTCCAATTACAAATCCCATTTTTATACATCCTATTTACCAAAAGAAAGACTTTTGGGTGGGACAGCATGAGAAGCTCAGGGAAATAAGCAAAAAAAAAAAAAAAGCTAATTTGAAAGCTCCTTTTAAAGAAAGTAATTTGTAGCCCCACATCATCTTATTTTTAAAATAATAGCAAAAGCACCAAACATGGAGACTGAAATACATTAGTAGAGTAAAACTGAACTAAATGTGATTTTTTTTTAAAACTATTAATCTAAAAATATCTAAGCTATGACTTAGACCAGAACTATGTGGAGTGTCTAAGGCAAATGATGAATGTCTTCTTGGAACACCAGTGATCATCTGCTAACTTCTTCAAGGTTAGCAAGAATCATAAAAGAGAACTTACCACTACATGAATAGTGTGTTGCTGTAGGCCCCCAAATAGCAGCAGGTTGCAACAGAGACAAAAAAATGCAGCATAAGACAGAAGCAAACTCATACAGCAGGCAGGTTATAGGGGAAGCTAGAAGAATAATGCCTCTAATTCAAATTTCTCTCCTACATACACTAGTGCATATGCTGATTATACCACTGGGCTATTCTGAAAATTTCATTTAGACTTCATTAAAGTCTCTGGTAAATGTACATGCTTTGCATATTTTAATGTTTTTAAGTTCTAAACTAAGTATTTTTATATGGACCTCACCAATCCTTAGGGTTTCAATGGCTTAACTAATTCTCTACAAGTTACATTTCAACTGTCAATCTACCCCACAGGATTGTTGTGAGGATTAAATAAAATATGTGAAAAGTCCTTATTAGAACAGTGCCTGACACACCACTGCCCTTCAATAAATGTTACTTATTCAATGTCAACCTGCTCGACACAAGCAAGCATACAGAAAAGAAATTGTTCTATGAGAGCAAATAAAACTTGGGGGACAATAACAAAAGCTCCAAATCCTAATCTTTTGCTTCTGGATTGCTAGTACACAAACTAGTAGAGAATGACTTCCTTAAAGAATTCCTATCAATGACACTGGCACATATTACTATTTATTTAACCATGCAAAAGGCAATGTGTAAGAGTCAGTGCTCTTCACCCTGGAGAACTATAGGAAGGTGCCAGAAATAATCATTTGAGCTGGGAACCCATTACTATAGAATGTCAAAGGTGGCCTACCTAGGTGGTATGAATAAAATCTAACAATTGCCCAACTTCTTCTGACTTTTCCAATTAAGAGTTCTATGGTACCTACAGAATTAAACACTAGCCATGGGGAATAATCAGAAAAGAGAGGGCAGTGATGCAAAAAGGAACACAAGTGTCCTTAAAGCTCAAAGAACTCAAATACAGTAAATGATATGGCAAAAACCTAACTGCTGGACTTAAAAACCTATGATTTGAGAAATTTTCCTCTGCTACCTATCATTCAGAAATCTAAGGTCAGTGGCCACCTTCTGAAATGATCACTGTTCTCAAGGCACACAGGTCTTGATCAATGAACTGCACACTCCTTTTTGTACCAAGTCCTCACCGAAAAAGCCAAAGGCATATAGTTTCTACGCCGTGCCAGTTTCTTGCGATCTCGCTCAACCTTCTCTTTCTGAGCAAGCTGCTGGTAATATTCAATCAGTTTGTTCATCTGTAAGAAATCAAAGATGCAGTAATTGTTTTCATGAAAAAGCTAACAGGAAATATGTAAAATTAATCAACAACACTAACTGGACACATAATGAACAGAGAAGACAAATGACTACGGTAGGCAAATTTGCCCTTTTCTTCAAAGAGAATTTCTCTTCATTGCATTTCTCTGAATTATCTGCAATATTAAAATGGAACCTTTAAGTTTAACAATGGGAAGAACTGGGCAATGAAAAGGCTAGGAAATTTCATGCCCTCTTTTCACCCCTCTTTTACTTCATTACTTATTTCCCCTTACAACTACTCCCTTTTTTTCTGCATGGCCACAGGCCTATCTACTTCTAAGAATCTGACATCTCGTACTGTCTTCTCCCCCACTCATATATTTTCATTTTTAAAATATGTCTTAATTCTAAAAGCAATACATGTTAATTGTGAAAACTTCAAGCAATATTAAACATAAAGAATAAAAAGCAATACTTCTCTTCTGTCTCTTGTGTCCAAGTCCACTCTTGCCCTCACTAAAGGTATCTGCAATTATCGGTTTAGATATCTTTCTTACACACTTACAGACGTGGGTATGAGATTACATTTTGCACGCATTGAAACAAAAACCCTGTGTATAGATATACAGCTTTTATATGTCTGAAAGTAAGTCTTTTTCCACATATGGGAAAAGCTTATTATTTTATAACTTCTTATTTCACTAAAAACAAACACATACTGTTTTCTTTTTCTGATTCACAGCCTGACTACAGAACTAAAGCTACAGCTAGGTTTCTCAAGCCAGACTAGAAAATACAGCCATTGTGACTTAAATGCTTATGAGAAGCACTTTCTGTGTAACAGACACCAAAATACATATCACAGATTTCTGGCATATGCCATATCCACTGATAAAATGGAAGATCTTCAGTCTTTTTCTCCATCTTTTCTTAGTTCATCCTCTCTCTGATGACGCTTTACTTACCCGCTGCGTGTGAGGATTTTCAGGTTCCTGCCAACCACCACTAGCTGCAAAACAAAAGGACATTAAACAAATTTTCATAATTTGGTATTTTTATTTTCATAAAAACAGGTCACTTGCAGGCCACAAAATGAAACCTAAAAACATAAAAATCATAGTTTTTTTTTTTAAGATTTTATTTATTTATTTGACAAGAGACACAACGAGAAAGGGAACACAAGCAGGGGGAGTGTGAGAGGGAAAAGCAGGCTTCCCGCCGAGCAGGGAGCCCGATGCAGGGCTCGACCCCAGGACCCTGGGATCATGACCTGAGCCAAAGGCAGATGCTTAACAACTGAGCCACCCAGGTGCCCCAAAATCATAGAACTTCTAAGAAATAGTCCTATGAGTTATATAGACCAGAACACTCAGAATGAAATTTTCATTAAAAATAATGATGGTGACAGGGGCACCTGGGTGGCTCAGTTGGTTAAGCAACTGCCTTCGGCTCAGGTCATGATCCTGGAGTCCCGGGATCGAGTCCCGCATCAGACTCCCTGCTCAGCGAGGAGCCTGCTTCTCCCTCTAACCCTCCCCCCTCTCATGTACTCTCTCTCTCATTCTCGCTCTCTCAAATAAATTATCTTTAAAAAAAAAAAATGATGGTGACAAAGACAACCACCCCCCACCACAACTAACACATGCATAGCTTCTGTGCCAAGCATCTGAAATGTATTACATTTCATTTTATACAATAACTCTCTGACATGGGGATTCTTATTATTAGTCTCATTTTACAAATGAAATTGAGGCTCAAAGAGGTTAAATAACTTGCCCAAAGTCACACAGATAGTAAGTGGTAAAGCTGGGATTCAAACTCAAGCAGTCTGACTCTCAAGAACCTGATCTTATCCAGAATACTGTGCAATTTCTATGTTCTATGACCTTGATTCAGAGAAGAATTTCTTACGTAAGAAACAAACAGCACAAATCACAATGGAAAAGATTATTCCAGAAAGCTAAAACCATAATGAATACAGCTGACTCTTGAACAACATGGGTTTGAACTGTGACGGTCCACTTATAGGTGAATTTTTTTCAATAAATACAATAAAGCTTTTAACTGTATTTTTTATTTCTTTTCTAGCTTACTATATTACAAGACTACAAATATACAATACATACAACATACAAAATATATGTTCATCAACTATTTATGTTATCAGTGTGGCTTCCAGTCAACAGTAAGCTATTAGTAGTTAAGTTTTTGGGAAGTCAAAAGTTACATGCAGATTCTCGACTGCACAGTGAGGGGGGTCAACACCTCTAACCTCTGCATTTGTTCAAGGGTCAACTGTCTATCTCAATAAAACTAACCAAAAAAAAAGGGAAAAAGTAAACTATAATGAGATACCATTTTACAACCATTGGTTTGGAAAAATTTGAAAGAAGTCCCACAGTACTAGAGCAGCCAAGGATCTGGAGCATTGGGTAGTCTACTCTTATTACTAGTGGGAGCAAAAACTGGTAAGCCATTTTGGAGAGCTAAAGATATAGACAACTTAAAACAAGCAATTTTATTTTCAGTTATGCAGAGAAACCTTTAGTCTTGGACTTAGGAAAAACATACAAGAATGTTTCTAATAGCACTGTTGACAAAAGCAAAAAAAAATGAAGGCCTAAATAAATGTCCATCAAGAAGAGACTAAATAAGTAAACTGTGGTAAGTCATGCATAAATCAGCTATATATCAGGAACATAATGCCAATAGAGAAAAGCTGTAGTAGGATACATACACAGTATATTTCCATTTGTTTCATATTGAAAAAACATTGTTAGTGGCTACATACTATACACTCTCCTATGTGGAGACATATAAAGACATGGATGGATACTGATAAACACTGGATTCAGGACTGGGATGATTATACTTCTCTGGGAGGCTGAGGAAAGGGGATCTAGTGGGGATAGGCTACACAAGGAGCTTAAACTGTTTTGGTTATGTTTAATTTCTGAAGCTGGGTGATAAATACATGAATGTGTATTATCTGTATAAGTAAAAATAACCTTTTTTCAAAACAAAAAGGATGCTTGTTGAAGGAGACACCACACCTTCTTGCAAGAAACGACAATATCCTTTAGTATGATATTCATATTTTAAAGGTTGCCTTACTTAAGACAATCATGAAAAATAATTATGTGAAAGAAATGTTTTAGCTGTAATACTCTGAAAAATCTAGATGTTTTACCTAATTGCTTTAGAACTGGTAATTTATTCTGAAGAGCAATTTGGGAGACGTAACGATCTCATTTCTTTGCACATTACAGACACAATGGCTTACTTATAAATAAACAAATAGTTCTAAAGTGGTTTCAGAGTTTCTCAGACACCAATGACATCATGAAAGAAAAAATTATCTGTACTCTTTAAGAGCTCCCAGTATTCAATTATTATTGTCAAGATACCCTAGAGAAGACAGATTTCTAGAAGTAAACACAGGTTTTAAGCTCTGAAATATAAATTCTCCAACATTAATGGCTCATAATCTAAAAAGCATAAAACATTCTCTTAAGAGTAACACTGAGAAATCTATTCAGACTTCTGGGCTTTGTTTCTTTACCTTGACAACAAGAGACAAAATACAAACATAGAAAAATACACTTCAAAAAAAATACACTTCAACTCACTGAGGCATACATACTCTGCCACTTTGAGGTTGTTCTTCATATTTAACTTACATTCATAAGCAAATTCAAACAACTTACTTGCTACACTGATATTAAAACACACAAATATTTACTGACAATCTAAAGATGCTATAGACTCTTTCTAATAAAAATCACATTTCAGGAAATACCTATCCACCAATGAGCAACAACCAAGAGCTCAAGCATTCTAAACCAAAGAGCAAACACAACAGACTCAAGGATTAAATATTTATTTTTTTAAAAGATTTTATTTATTTATTTGACAGAGAGAGAGCGAGAGCAGGAACACAAGCAGGGGGAGTGGGACAGGGAGAAGCAGGCTTCCCGCCAAGCAGGGAGCCCGATGCAGGGCCTGATCCCAGGACCCCAGGACCCCAGGATCACGACCCGAGCCGAAGGCAGACGCCCAACGACTGAGCCACCCAGGCACCCCAAGGATTAAATTTTTAAGAAGAGAGTTGAATCTAAAGAAACCTGACCCATATTTACTTCCAAATTGTGTAATCATCTATAACAAGTTTTTACTTAAAGTCCATCTTCATTTTAGTTATGTCAACTGACATAATGAGTTCATTATGGGCTTCGTCATAGACTAGTAAGCTGAAATTTTAAAGATTTTATTTATTTATTTGAGAGAGAGAGATAGCACAAGCAGGAGGGAGGCGGAGAGGGAGAGGGAGAAGCAGACACCCCACTGAGGAGGGAGCCCAATGTGGGGCTTGATCCCAGGACCCTGAGATCATGACCTGAGCTGCAGGCAGACACCCAACCAACTGAGCCACTCAGATTCCCCCCAAGATGGGAATTCTTACCAAGTCTAAAAAGTTTCAGAAAATTGAATAAAATTTCAGAAAGATAAAAGGCAATGGGGAGTTAGCAATGCCACTATTTTTATAAAAAATAAATAGCAACTCAAGATTTTGAACTGACTATACAGAGTTTCTACTCTCTGATGTTAACCATGGAGTACCGGAAATGTAAAAATAAAGGAAGTTTCCCAGTCAACAAAGCCAAAAGACAACCGAAAGAATGGGAGAAGATATTTGCAATGACATATCAGATAAAGGGCTAGTATCCAAAATCTATAAAGAACTTATCAAACTCGACACCCAAGGAACAAATACTCCAATCAAGAAACGGGCAGAAGACATGAACAGACATTTCTGCAAAGAAGACATACAAATGGCCAACAGACACATGAAAAAGTGCTCAACATCTCGGCATCAGGGAAATACAAATCAAAACCACAGTGAGATACCAACTCACACCAGTCAGAATGGCTAAAATTAACAAGTCAGGAAATGACAGATGTTGGCGAGGATGCGGAGAAAGGGGAACCCTCCTACACTGTTGGTGGGAATGCAAGCTGGTGTAGCCACTCTGGAAAACAGTATGGAGGTTCCTCAAAAAGTTGAAAATAGAGCTACCCTACGACCCAGCATTTGCACTACTGGGTATTTACCCCAAAGATACAAATGTAGTGATCCGAAGGTGCACGTGCACCCCAACGTTTATAGCAGCAATGTCCACAATACCCAAACTATGGAAAGAGCCTAGATGTCCATCGAAGATGAATGGATAAAGATGTGATATATATATACACAATGGAATATTAGGCAGCCATCAGAAAATGAAATCTTGCCATTTGCAATGACATGGATAGAACTAGAGGGTATTAAAAAAAAAAAAGAACTAGAGGGTATTATGCTAAGTGAAGTAAGTCAATCAGAGAAAGACAAGTATCATATGATCTCACTGATATGTAGAATTTGAGAAACAAGGCAGAGGATCATAGGGGAAGAGAGGAAAAACATGAAACAAGACAAAATCAGAGAGGGAGACAAACCATAAGAGACTCTTAATCTCAAGAAACAAACAGGGTTGCTGGAGTGGTGGGGGGTGGGAGGGATGGGGTGGCTGGATGATAGACATTGGGGAGGGTATGTGCTATGGTGAGCGCTGTGAATTGTATAAGACTGATGAATCACAGACCTGTACCTCTGAAACAAATAATACATTATATGTTAAAAAAAAAAAAAGAAAAAAAGAATAGCCAACATAATATTAAAGAAGGACAAAGCTGGAGAATTCACCCTAGATAGTTATTAAGATCTATTATTAAACATTTTATTTTTATGTATTTTATTATTTTTTATCATGAACATGCTTTTAACATACAGTGTTAGATGCAGGTGTACAATATAGTGATTCAACAATTAAAAAAAAACCCAAAACAATTCCATACATTACTCAGTGCTTATCACAATCAGTGTACTCTCTTTTTCGTTGTGGGACTTTTTAAAAACTTAATTACTTTCTAAATTCCAGGATAACCAATGTACAGTGTTCTATTTGTTGCAGGTGTACGATATAGTGTTTCAACAATTCTATGCATTACTCAGTGCTCAAATAAGTGTACTCTTAATCCCCTTCACCTATTTCCCCCATCCCCCCACTTTCCTGCTCTCTGGAAACCATCAGTTTGTTCTCTATAGTTAAGAATCTGTTTTTCTTTGTCTCTTTTCTTTGTTCATTTGTTTTGTTTCTTAAATAAACTTTTTATTTAAAAAATAAATAAATAAAGGAAGTTTCCTTTAATAAAGGTAAGTGCAATCTCCACCCTGAAATGCTCAAATGATGGAAAGATAGTTAGTGCCTTAGGTGGTCTTTAGGTCAAAACACACACACAATTTTTCTGTTTTACTGTTAAACATTTTATGTAAATACATGTGTCTTTGAGCTTGTGTTTAATGTTCCAGGATATTTGGATATGGAAATGCTGGGCAGAAGGATAAAAGCAATTTATTTTCAATAAACGGTGAAGGGGTTTTTAAGAGTACACTATCATGATGAACACCAAGTATGTATAGAATTGTTGAGTCACTGTATTGTACACTTGAAACGAATGTAACACTGTATGTTAACTCTACTAGAATTAAAATAAATAAATAAAATGCCATTTATTTTGTTAAAATAAAAACAAATATAAATAAGGGCACTTTGGAGCACCTGGGCGGCTCAATCAGTTAAGCGTCCAACTCTTGATCTCGGCTTGAGTCTTGATCTTAGGGTCGTGAGTTCAAGTCCCAAGTGTGGAAAAAAAAAAAAAAAAAAATGGGGGGGCTGTCTGGGTGGTGTAGTCAGTTAAGTGTCTTACTCTTGGTTTCGGCTCAGGTCGTGATCTCAGTCGTGAGATCGAGCCCCAAGTTGGGCTCCACACTCAGCATGGAGTCTGCTTGAGATTCTCTCTTCCTTTGCCCCTCCCACTCGTGGTCTCTCTCTCTAATAAATAAATTAAATCTTTAAAAAAAAAAAAAATAGGGGTCCCTGGCAGGCTCAGTGGGAGGAGCATGTGACTCAATCTCGGGGCTCTGAGTTCAAGCCCCATGTTAGGTGTAGAGCTCACTTAAATAAATATACTTTAAAAATAAAATAAATAAATAAATATAAATAAAATTTTAATCATTATCAAACTGTTCTCCAAGGTGGTAGTAGATGAAAGAACTATTTTGCCATATTCTTGCCAACACTTGATTATTACCAGATCTAAAAAATTTGCCAAATCAATGAAGTTTTAATTTGTATTAATCATACAAGGCAATTTATGGATACTCAAAGAAAGAGTCGAAATAAAAAGAAAGGGCTAATGAATGCAAGGGCACATAAGGTGGATGGAAGGGTTGTGGAACCAAAGAGGGCTGTCTCAAGAGAAGATTCTCAAAGACCTGGTGCCCACTTAACTGTGAAAAAGATTTTTGTTGGTGGCATTAAAGAAAACACTGAAGAATATCACCTAAGAGATTATTTTGAACAGTATGGGAAAATTGAAGTGATCGAAATCATGACTGACCGAGGCAGTGGCAAAAAGAGAGGTTTTGCTTTTGTAACATTTGATGACTGTGACTCTGTAGACAAGACTGGTCATTCAAAAATACCATACTGTGAATGGCCACAACTGTGAAGTAAGGAAAGCCCTATCTAAGCAAGAGATGGCTAGTGCTTCATCCAGCCAAAGAGGCCAAAGTGGTTCTGGAAACTTGGTGGTGGTCGTGGAGGTGGTTTTGGTGGGAATGACAACTTTGGTCGTGGAGTGAACTTCAGTGGTCGAGGTGGCTTTGGTGGCAGTCGAGGTGGTGGTGGCTATGGTGGCAGTGGGGGTTGCTATAATGGATTTGGTAATGATGGAAGCAACTTTGGAGGTGGCGGAAGCTCTAATGATTTTGGCAATTACAACAATCAATCCTCAAATTTTGGACCCATGAAAGGAGGAAATTTTGGAGGCAGAAGCTCCGGCCCCTATGGTGGTGGAGGCCAATACTTTGCCAAACCACAAAACCAAGGTGGCTGTGGTGGTTTCAGCAGCAGCAGTAGCTACGGCAGTGGCAGAAGGTTTTAATCACTGCCAGGAAACAAAGCTTAGCAGGAGAGGAGAGCCAGAGAAGTGACAGGGAAGCTACAGGTTACAACAGATTTGTGAACTCAGCCAAGCACAGTGGTGGCAGGGCCTAGCTGCTACAAAGAAGACATGTTTTAGACAATACTCATGTGTATGGGCAAAAAATCGAGGACTGTATTTGTGATTAACTGTGTAACAGGTTATTTTAGTTCTGTGGAAAGTGTAAAGCATTCCAACGAAGGGTTTTAATGTAGTTTTTTTTTTTTTTTGCACCCATGCTGTTGATTGTTAAATGTAATAGTCTGATCATGACGCTGAATAAATGTGTCTTTAAAAAAAAAAAAGAAAGGACTAAAAAATGTCAGGGGAGGGAAACACAAACTTGAGTTGTAACTTTATGAAAGGTTAAGGTCTTTCCATGGAATCTGCAAGGTTTGGAGGAGTTTGGAGTCAAGATAAAGATCATTTTAACCCGACTATGGGCCCTTCCATGTATACATTTTGGTTATTGATCATTTTTATTTCCACTTCTGAGAGCTGCTCTTCTTATCTTTTGCCTAGTTTTTCTTTGGGGCTTCTTTCTTGATTTATAAGGTTCTTCATTTTTGGTTATTTATCTTTAGCCTGTTATATATGACCCAAATATTTTTCTTAGTTTGTCACTTTTATCTTTTAAATTTGTTCATGGTGTCTTTCATCATCAGGAGTGTTTATGTTTTATGAAGAGCATTAACATTTTGATTCTAAAAGTGTCGGATTTACCAATGCTATTTTACCAACTCTAAGAAAACTAAATAGTTTACCCAGTCTTAGATGAAACATTATAGTCCATAAATGTGAGAATTTGGAAACACAGAAGATTTACCTCTGAATTTAGCTCCTGCCTTCCAACAGGTAACAGAAATAATCATCTGTGGGCAATTTTAACACTACCAATTTCACAAAATCTCATGTTGAAGTCCGCCTGACTCACCCACAGATTTGTCTGCCATGCCTACATCTCTAGATGTCCAGCGACAAAATCCACAGGCCAGGTAGTAGGCCTTCTTCATGGTGGTCTTGGCAGGGTCATCTGGAAGTTGTGTGGAGATGCTTGTTGCCCGAGTAGAGAGAGTGTGCATACAGCCGGGACAGTCAAAGCAGTTGGCACACCTATAACACAACACCACTGTTACTCGTTTGACAAATATTTATCAAGCAACTGCTATGTGCCACACACTGTTCTAGGTGTTAGGAATTCAAGAGGGAACTATAAGGGAGGACTGTCTCTCAACTAAAAAGAAATAAAAAAAGTATTAAAATCTTGTTTTAAAATTTAAAAGGTATTATATGTTCATTTACTTTTTTTAAAAATGCAATCAGCACCAAAGTTCCTGAAGAAATTAGAGCCTGACCCAATCCTACTCCAGAGAACATCACTGTTACACAGTCTGGATTTAACTATTTCAGACTCTATTTAGGCTTGTAAAGACCATAAAGATTTCTGAGGAAGAGAGAGGTCACCGCTTATGCCTTCAAACAGGACAGAGCAGCTGCACAATGAAAACCTTAGAGGCAATAATACAATACGCTGTGAAATTGGGTTTGGAAAATAACTGCTTGTTTGCTGTGCCAGAGAGCTGACACAGAAACCAAACGATGCTATCAAACTGCAACAGTTGAGGAGCAGTGCCTTTTTGGGGCTTTCTGTTCTCTCCTTAGGCACTACTCTTCCTAATGCTCAGCCAACATTTCCCCTTCCGGGGCCCCTGTGCCTTGTTGCTTGTAACTTTTTCACCATCTGAGATTATCAAGATTTCACTCTTAGTCCTGGACTTACCCTGAAGCTCTGTTCTACAACTCTAATTATCTGCGATATTTTGCCTTAACAACCTCGTATAAGGATAATAATGGTATCTACCCACTATTCACTGCTCACTGATATTTTAAGGATTAAATGATGAAATTAATGTGTGGAGAGCACACAAAGAAACAGTATCTGGCTTATTAGCAGCTATTTCTCGGGTTCAGGAAAGAAAAGTCATGGTGGTTCACATCCACGGAGGTGTAAGGGTATGATTGGTAGCAAAGGACTTATACGCTAAGCTAAAAACCAAATGGCACCCAGTGACAATGAGCACACCTATTACCCAGATCTTGGTTTTTAATACCATTTTCCAATAAAAGGAACCAGGCCTCCTTGGAGAAATGGCTAATTCAAGGACTGAGGCCGAGTCCTGGGATGAGCCTGGAGTATCTTGTAGGACCAAAAAATAAGAAAATGCTCAAATGAATGAACAGCGCCCCCCACCCCCCACCCCACGCAATAATGGGGGTATGTCAAAGGGATATAGGAGTCTACCAAAAGAGCTCCCGATGGCCAAAGCTGGAACAACCTGAGCAAAGAAATAAAGTGGTACTGGATTATAACCTAAGGTATAAAACCAATATTCACGCTTTAAATAAATGATTAAATAAATAAATAGGGGAGGAGAAAAATCTCCCATTCAAAAGAATTCCAAATAATTTGAGTAAAGAACCCTCATGGAGGGGGAACATAACTCCCCACTATTTAAGTGTCGGCTGTGAGAGTGTTTTCTTTCCAAAGAGTACAGTCTTCAAAAAAGAGAAAAATGAGTGACTCTATATTGGAGAAACCTGACAAACACTAGCTCAAGCCAGGTCATCAAGGCTAACATCAACAGTGATAAGTTCCATTGACAGTATGTACCCTTGGTGGGATGTAATGAATGATGCACTTTACCTCTGCTGTCTTCCTCCCCATAACACATTCCCCAGCTGATGAGAAAAACATCAGATAAATTCCAATTGAGGGATATTATACAAAATATCTTACCAGTACTCCTCAAAACTTTTAAGGTCCTCACAACCAAGGAAAGTTTAAGAAAATGTCACAAGAGAAGCCTAAAGAGACATGAGTATTAAATATAACATGGGTAGCCTAAATAGAATCCAGGAACAGAAAAAGGAGATTAGGGAAAAACTGAGGAAACCTGAATAAAATGAAGCATTTATTTAATAATAAAGTATCAATGTTGTTCATTAATTGAGACAAATATACTATACTAATACAAGATGTTAACAATAGGGGAGACTATGTATGAAGTACACAGAACTCTCTATACCATCTTCACAATAATTCTTAGGTCTAAAACTGTTCTAAAATAGAAAATTAATTTAAAAAATCAAAGGACATTTCATCTTTGGCAAAGGTGATGCTAAAAAATGAAAACAAGCTAGTTAAAAATGTGAGTTATTTTCCATGTGTTTTCTTACCAGCTATTAAAAAAATAGTTGAGGAAAACAGAAAAAAAAAAATGGATCCCAATCTTACCTATTCTTTTTTAGTTTGGCTTCAGCCGATGGCATATTTTCTAAGCAACTGGGACAATAATGGGAGTCCACCTAGAAAGAAACAAGAAATCAAAAATCAGAGGAAAAGGCACTCAGTCTAGCTTGTATATACATCTATTCCAAATAGTGAATTCTAAAATATAATGCAGCAGAAAGTGAGAAACCACTGATATGCCAAAGAACCTAGACTGTTTTCAGCTTAGGGTTTATTCTTCAACCATGCTTTTTCTTATCCTCTGTATTTCCTAAAACCCTTCCATTTTTCCTTTCTGATCTTACCTGTTCCCTTTCATCAGGATTTTATGTAATAATGTGTTAAAAGTTGTCTATGGAAAAGAAGAACTCTATGATAATCTAATGAACAGACTAATAAATAAAATAACCCAATTTGTGAAGCTGTGATCAAATAACCTTCCATCCTTTTATACTGTTTAGCTTTAATGGACTGTAATAACTTGACCACACTTAAATTGTTAAGGGAGACTTTAAAAGTTTTCTCATTACCAAAGTATTACATGTTCACAAAAGCATAAATTAACATTTACAAAATCAGCTTTAGCCAACTGATTAGAGATTTTTAAATGGCAAATTAAACTACTAAACTAGCAAGTCTTATTGTATTTAACTCAAAAACACAGAAGAAAATTAAATCCACTGTATTTTTTAAGCTCTGAATAATTATTTTCTTTAATGTAGGTAGATCCTATTTGACAATTCTAGAACTCTAGTCACCTACAGATGTAAAGACAGATTTAAATGAATATAAATACTATGAGAGAAACTGGCTTCTTTTTTCATCATCTGCTATACACAGGACCACCTTTGAAAAAATAAAGTCGCTGCTCAAATAATCTCCAGGAACATAAAACACAGTATTGCTAACTAATATTTGCACTTACTCATCATAAAAGGCAAACTATAATTTGTTCTTTCTTGTGGCTCTTTTCAAATTCTGCCTGTCCCTTCATGTGCAGCTCCAATCCCAGGTTCTCCATTAGAACTTTCTGGACTCCTCCAGCCCTCACCAGCCTCATCCTTCCCCAAACCCTAAATGGCCTCCACTTCACAGGTGGAGGTACACATGAGTCTGTAAAAGATGCAGCAAGACAGAATGTCCTAGCTCAAGATATCCTTAGAAATCATGGAGACTGAGCTCTCTAATGACCATCAAGTGGGAATCTATTCCAACATATTCTGGAGGTGGAGGTGGAGCTGGAACAGGAAAGCATCTAAAAAGACAAAGGACCTGCTAAAGAGATACACACAGAGAAAATGCTAATAGAGACAAAAATACAAGAAATATCGTGTATATTATATGGCATTGATTTTTCTCGTTTTATTACTTAACTGCTTTCTGTGACTACTCTTAATATTATGAAAAATACACCCAATAAAATTGTTATTGATAATAATGTGTAAAATGGCTTACAGTATAGGACACATTTTCATATGCATTTTTAACAGTCCAGGGATTGTCAATGAAGTTCTCTGAATCATGTTTCAAATCCTGATTTGGAAGGCTGCTGTTGAGTTTCAAACCTTGGTTCTCCCTGCCATCCCCAAAGTTTTGGTTGTGTGACCTAGGGCAAACACTGTGTCTGTTGCTTTAATTACATTTTTTTAAAATATCCATTCTATTGGCCTGTAGGATGATTAAAGGAGTTTATATAAACCACATGGCATATAGAAAGCACTGAATAAGCAGCAACTGTTACCAGCGGCTTTTCCTTAACTAGACTGAGTCACTCAACAGCAGGATTTATGTTTTTCTCGTCTTTTAAAACCCAAAGCTCACGGAATGAACAACAAGATGTGCCAAGTGCTGTAGAAGTTTGGGGATTTTGTTATTTGTTTTTTTGTTTGTTTGATGGGGTGGGGCGTTTTACGTTCTGAGCAATCCGACTTCCAACGCCCACTTGTGCCTGGAAGGACAGCACCATACCCTCTGGAGAAGCGCCTTGAGCTTATTCACCACAGACCTTTTTCTAAGCGCTTTTCACCCAACTCGCCCCAACCCAACCTCTTCCCTGCTGCAGGCCTCGGCCTGAGCCAGAAAACACAGCAACGCCCAGTTTCTGGCCAAAGTAGGGGCAGAACTTCCAGGATGGGAGGGACATGAATGAGAATGCCTATCGGTTCCACCCTACAATCAGTCATGGAAAGACAGTATCTCGCCCCTCAAGTGGCCTGAATAATCCACCCCACATCTTCCTCCCCAACCCACCCAATTACCAAACACCCCAGGAGACCGCCAGGGTCCGTAAAGTCAGATTTGTCCAATCCGAGAGCGCTCTAGAACCAAAAGATCCGCTCAGCCCCACCCAAGGCCGCTCCTTCTTTCCAAATGACAAATTATAAACAAATTAAATCAAACAGCAAATCTGAGTGACGAGAGACATAACCAATCAGCAAGCCAGGAAAATGACTACCCGCCAGTCGCGGTGACTAGGACGAACCCTTCCCCCCTCTCCCCCAACATATAGACATTCTTCACGGGACGACTGCGTTACCTCGTGAGACACACATTCCAGCGACCGTAGCTCGCTACAATAGCGGCAGAAATAAAGCTGCGACAGCGGGGCCCGAACCTTCTTTTCTCCCTGGACTAGGTAGAGAACCCGCTCCGATTGCAGCAAGGACGCCATCTTGGAGGGGGAGGAGTCAACGACGCTCTCGCCGCGTCACGTGATCCTAGAGCCTGCGTTTGCCTCGCCACTTTTCCTACGTCTTTCGTCGGAGACTTTGCGTAAGGTTTCCGACCTGGTGGGGGTCTGGCGCGGGCCGAAAGTCACAGTGCGCGTGCGCAGCTGGGGATCCCCGGTTTCGCCCCCAGCGTTTCAGTGAGCGTTTGTTGCCTGGACGAAGTCCGTCCGACCTTTCCTATCATTAAGTACGCAATCACAGATCACATCCAGACAGGCCAGTGCTCTCCTTTTGTTTCTTCCAGAAAGAAAGGCTGCTCTTCTGTTTTATTTACAACTGCCCCTCCTGCCCTCACGTTCCAAGCCGACTTCCAGAAGGTAGATGGGTAGATGGAGGGTCTCAGGGACAGAGTGCCTTGGGAACTGGGAAGTTAAGAGTCACACCAGCACTTTCTTTTGACTGTTTTGTCGCTGACCTGTAGGAAATCTTCACAGACATTATCTCGTTTCATATTTCTTAGACTGTGAGTTCCTCCACACAGAAGCCATGTCTCGTTCATTTCCAGGTTTCAGGTACTTAGAATTAGGACAGCCTGTATTGTGGGCCTTCAATAAGTATTGGTTAATGGAGGAATGAAATCATTGCGTGAACAGTGTTGCTAGATCATTTACATTTTTTCTAGTGCATAAACTAAGGCTTAGATATATAAAATGACCACTTAGAACGGGCCTAGCAGAGACTGGAGCCCAGGTTACCTGCCCCCAGTTCTATGCTCCTCTCATTGTACTAACGTATTATTTACCTGTCTGACATTGGAGTTGGTGATTGAAAAGAAATGGAACTGAATATTAATAGTAGCTAACATCTATTGAATGATTATTGAATGTAAGTCGCTGTGACAAAACTTTACATGTCTCATTTAATTTTCACAAAAAACTCCAAAAGGCAGGTCCTATCTTTTATTTTGCACCGAGGGAAACTGAGGCTCAGAGAATTACAATGATTTGTCTAAGATTTCATAAATAGCAGCAGAACCCTGTGTTGTCTGACTCCAGAGCTTGCATGCATTACTCCTATGCATACTGCCTCTAGCATATTTCCCCCAGCTTTATTGAGGTATAATTGACAACTTAAAATTATATATATTTAAGGTGAACACCTTGATGATTTGATATACATTGTGAAATAATGAACTCAAACAAGCTAATTAACATATCCATCACCTCACATAGTTACCATTTTCTTTCTTTTTTCTCTTTCTTTCTTTTCTTTTTTCTGATGAGAACACTTAAGATCTACCCTCTTAGCAAATTTCAAGGATATAATATACAATATTGTTAATTATGGTCACATTGTTACACATTAAATCTCCAGAAGTTATTCATCTGCGTAACTGAAATTTTGTACCCCTTGACCAACATTTCTTCATTTCTTCCTCCCCCCAGACCTTGGCAACAACCATTCTCTCTGCTTCTATGAGTTTGACTATTTTGGAATCCATATATAAGTGAGATAATGCAATATTATCTTTCTGGGTCTGGCTTATTTCGCTTAGCATACTGTCCTCCAGGTTCATCCTGTTGCTACAAATGGCAGGAGATATATATTTATATATTTATGTTTATATTACATTTATATTTCAGTTATTGTGTAAATATTTATATATCACATTTTCTTTATTCATCTGCTGACATTTACATTGTTTCCATATCTTGGCTACTGTGAATAATGCTGAAATGATCATGGGAGTGCAGCTATCTCTTTAAGATTCTGATTTCATTTCTTTTGGCTATAGACCCAGAAGTGGAACGACTGAATCATAAGATAGTTTTATTTTTAATTTTTTGAGGAACCTCCATATTGCTTTCTGTAGAGGCTGTACCAGTTTACATTCCCTCAACAGTGTACAACAGTTCTCTTTTCTCTCCACATCCTTGACAGCACTTGTTATCTTTTATCTGATAATGGCCGTTTTAACAAGTGTGAGGTGATAGCTCATTGTGGTTGGTTTGTTTTTAAGATTTTATTTATTTATTTGACAGAGAGAGACACAGCGAGAGCAGGAACACAAGCAGGGGGGAGTCGGGGAGGGAGAAGCAGGCTTCCCGCCAAGCAGGGAGCCAGAGCAGGGAGCCTGATGCGGGGCTCGATCCCAGGACCCTGGGATCATGACCTGAGCAGAAGGCAGACGCTTAACGACTGAGCCACCCAGGCGCCCCATTGTGGTTTTGCTTTGCATTTCCCTGATAATTAGTGATGTCGAGCACCTTTTCATATATCTGGTAGTCATTTGTGTTTTTGTTTTTTAAAGATTTTATTTATTTATTTGACAGAGAGAGACACAGCGAGAGAGGGAACACAAGTAGGGGGAGTGGGAGAGGGAGAAGCAAGCTTCCCGCGGAGCAGGGAGCCTGATGAGGGGCTCAATCTCAGGACCCTGAGATCATGACCCGAGTGAAGGCAGTCGCTTAACCCACTGAGCCACCCAGGCGCCCCTCATTTGTGTTTTCTTTAGAGACCTATCTATTCAGGTCCTTTGCCCATTTTTAAATTAGGGTATTTATTTATTTATTTTGCTATATATTTTGGATATTAACCCCTTATCAAATATATGATTTGCAAATATTTTCTTCCATTCTGTAAGTTGCCTTGTCATTCTGTTGATTGTTTCTTTTGCTATGCAAAAAGTTTTTATTTTTTATTTTTTTAAGATTTTATTTTATTTATTTGACAGAGAGCGAGAGAGCACAAACAGGGGGAGCAGCAGAGGGAGAGGGAGAAGCAGGCTCCCCAAGCTGGATGCAGGGCCCCATCCCAGGATCCTGGCTGCATGACCTGAGCCGAAGGCAGATAGTTAATTGACTGAGCCACCCAGGCGCTCCTGCTATGCAAAAGGTTTTTAGTTTGATGGAATCCCACTTGTCTATGTTTGCTCTTGTTGCCCAGAGCCTGCAGGTAGAGAGAGGCCACAGACTTAAGCTGACTCCACATGAAACATACCTTTTGGAGCACTGCTTTTGAAAAATTCAATTCAATGGACAATTATCTGGTCCCTATGTGGCAGGTACTGGGGAGGGAATCAGAGATAAATGAGACAGTTCCTGTCCTCACAGGGCTGAGTCTAGGCCCTAGGGCAGTGTTTCTCAAGTGAGGCCCTGGATCACCTACACAGAGAATTACCGTTATAAATGCAGATTCCAGGCCCTTATCAAGACCCAAATTAAGGGATGCCTGGGTGGCTCAGTCTTTAAGTGTCTGCCTTCCGCTCAGGTCATGATCCCAGGGTCCTGGGACGGAGTCCGGCATCAGGCTCCTTGCTCGGCAAGCAGCCTGCTTCTCTCTCTGCCCGCCGCTCTCTCTGCCTGCCCCTCTCCCTGCTTGGGCTTGATCTCTCTCTGACAAATAAATAAATAAAATCTTAAAAAAATAATAAAAAGAGCCAAATTAGAATTTTGGGGGGTGAGGCCCAGAAATCTAAATCTCTATTAAGCTTCCAGATGAGTCTCATGCCCACAAAATTGGAGAACCACTGTTTTTTCATAATCACTTGTTTAACTTTCTGTCTTTGGCCCCAGACCTGAGCATGGCAGGCCTTGTCTCTGCTGCTTTCTGAGCATTGGTAGCACTGCCTTGCAGGTTATCAGATGTTTTCTGCCCCCTGTGCTATGGAATATGGAAAGTCTCCAATGGCAGAAAACTAAGGCATCCTGCCTATCTCTTGCCAGGCCTCTCTCCACACCTTCGGGGGCTGGATTCTATTCTCCATGATTCCGGTTCCACAGAGCCCTACCTGTCAGACTCTGAAAATTAGTCCTCGCTTTGGAGATCTGTGTCCCAGGGCCAACTCCAGTCTCCGGGCCCAGGTCCTCCCCAGACCTTTTTACTTTGAACTATATGATTACTACATGAATACCTCCTTGGGATCCCTCTGGGAATCCACTTGGCAAACCTGGAGGTGTGAAAGAGTGAACATTCTATGGGACAATAATTGACCAATGTAGGGTGGGAATCTGTGAATAAATGCCCCTCTCTTCTTTCTCCTAGACATTCTCAGTGTATCTTTAGAGGGTGCCAGCAGGATCAAGCCCTAGTTGCATGCAGTGGTGACCCGGCTTGATAACGTGCCCTTGTACTGACCTTCCTTTCAACTGGTTGACTTTTCCCAGCTCCAGGCCTGCAAGGGGAGTTGAAGTTAAGATAGGGACCCAGCTGCCAGGTAACTGGTAACCACACTTAATACTGATTGGCAGGGAGCCCTCGTGAAAAGACCAGACCAGTTTATACTCTCACCATTAGTATCCGAAACTCCCATTTCCCCATTGTTTTGCCAACATGGAATATTATCAAATATGGGTGAATAATTTTATGCTTTCTAGCTATGGGATCTTGAAAAAGCCATTTTCACCTCCGAGTCTTGCTTTGTAACCCATAGAATGGAAAGAATAGTCCCTGTTTTGAGGTAAATAGCAAATCACCGTGACTGAGAAAGCACTTTGTAAGCTACGAAGGACGAGGCACATGTAAGAAACAGTCCCTGATTATTCCAAATATGAAAAACCCAAAAGGGTTTTCCTTTCTCTAAAGAATCCTTCAGAGTAAATTCACAATAACAACTAAAAAAAAACTGGAGTTAGTCACACTTTGGTCAGACGAGATCTTTCAGAGAGGGCCTGAAATTGAGCCCCCACATCAAAGGCTCAGGGTCCTCCGCAACGTAAGAATCCTGGAGGGCTAGTCTGAACCGGTGCTGGCCATCTGCCTGGGTCACCCTTCTCGTTTGGGTTTCCTGCTAGAAGACTGCCTTAACCACAGATGTCCCTGCATTGAATCTGCACACTCACCTAAAAGCCATAGTAAGTGAACAGAGGGAGAAGAGAAAGGTCTCCTGTTTCTTCAGACCCCTCCTGGGCCCCCTGAAGGGCGCTGCCTGGGAAATGTGGCGGTGGTGCTGGCTCTGGCTTATTTCTGCAGCGGAAACCGGGCGGAGGGCTGCTGCTGTGTCTTCACTCTGGGAGCGTGGCCACAGACTCAACT